GCGTTAGCAATGTCAGGACGTCATAGCTAAGACGCTGCCATCAAACAAAATACACATTCTTGACGTATTTTTTGTTTTTTTATGCTCTATACACTCTCGGACTTACTCCTTTGAGTTGTATATTTGCCCAGGCGATTGCACTTCACATAATATATTGGAAGTAGCGTGAATATACATTTGACAAACAGGTATATTTCACATGTATTCTTATAGTCATTATTTTTAAGGCAATCATTTGATTGTAACAACAAAAAAAAAATTAAACCAATTTATTACATAAACCAACGAACGAATACCTTGTTAGTTGTTTACAATAACAGCCATCTATAAATATCAACTTGTTTTGTTTAAACAAGTTTGAAAATCACCCATCCCGGTATCGCCTTCCTCAAAAACCATTTTAAAACGAGCCCTCTTCTACACTCAATTAATTAAACTCCGGTAGTAAACGAAATCACAGTTCTAAAACTCTTCCAAGAAGCTCGTGTCCACAAAAAATATATTATAAAGGCATAAACGAGATACGTTTATGAATAAATCAACGGGCGGACTCGCAAAAATGAACAAGGACCCCCCCGTCAGAGTGAAACGGACTTACGTCTGTGTCCTTTGAGCGAAGGAGACGGACGCCGCTAGATAGGAAAAGGTGTAATTATGCTGTTAAGAATATAATTTTACGTTGTTAAAGCGATGCATGCGTCACATTATTAGGTTTTTTTTTGCTTGTTTCATATACGCGGGGATTAAGCCTTTTCGATTCTGGCGTGGCGATATGTGCCGACGGAATTTGGATAACGTATTAATTTAAGCAAAGGATCAATTTGATTTTTAAAATTAGTTTCTATTGCTATGGAAATGTGTCCAGGAATGTGCTTGTTATCAAATAGGGAAACATTATGAAAGGGGAGTAATAGTATTGAAGGCTTTATTTATGCATCTCATTTTTTTTTAAGCTATTGCATAGTTTTTATCACGTGCCTTGAGCGCGGCGACCGAATCATGAAATTCCGTAACGAAAAAAACCTAACACCCCTCACTCCGTCTACCATGTAGCTCGCGTTCAACACATTCACACGTTGCGCTTGTGTAGTGTTTGTGAGTAAGCGCGTGACATGACGTCACACTGCATGCGCATCATGAAAAGTCTGCCCATCTCTCTCTCGCGCGGTCTAGCTTATGAGTGTGAAGGGGACAGTTAATGTTTTGCTTTTATTAATGTTTAATATAGCGTGGTCTTGTTTTATTATTGTTTTAATATTAAATTATCATTGTCTAATTATAATTGCGAAGTTGATAAAAAATGCTATGCAATAGCTTTATCGCGGCAGTTCCCGAGTGCCACACGTTTGTTTTATTGCTTTGAAGGGCGTACGAGTTTCACAGTCCATCTGGTGTTAAGTGGTTACTGGAGCCCATAGACACCTAGAACGTAAATGCGCCACCCATCTTGAGATATATGTTCTAAGATCTCAGTATAGTTACATTTGGGTCACGAATCTACTGTCTGGTCCATTAATGAATTTAGCGAGTTTTTTATATGAACTCTTTTATGAGTATCATGAAGCGCATTACACTGCTGATATACTCTAGGCGCTCTTGGCCCATTTAGGGTTATGTCGCAACGGATATATTCACAGATATCAATCACCATGTAAATACCATCACCCATCTTGAGACGCAAGGTCAGAATTTCAATATACAGTAGCACGACTGTCCCAATCCTTCAAAGCGGAACCCATGACTGGTTCGCGGCAAAAATAGCCAGAGCCAGGCTACCTTTCTTTGCCAACTTCGAATACATGATAGCACCGGTACAAACACAAAGATTTTCCATGTACGTCCTCGTAATTATTTCGAATAGTCGTCCAAGATAATGAAGACATTGAATAATCTCATCTGTTAATGTTCATAGAATCCCTTGGAAAGGCCGCATCCGCAGTTGATCGGTGTAATGCGATGCACCTGCCTATACCTGCATCACACTTCAGACCACAGCATAAAAACCTTGTTAAGAAACACCGCTGGTTTTTTTTCCAACTCCAAATTAATGATAGCTAATCGGTTTATGACATGTGATGGCTGGGAGCCGGTCGGGTCTGTTATTTTTGACGCGGGTCGTGGGCAACAGGTAGGACAATTACGTGGTCGATCATAATGTATTTCGGCGATGGAATAACTATTGATGTTTTGTTGTTCTAAGTACGAAATTCAAAACGTTCAAGTCGCCGTGGCCTAAAGGATAAGACGTCCGGTGCATTCGTATGTAGCTATGCACCGGTGTTCGAATCCCGCAGACGGGTATCAATTTTTCTAATGAAATACGTACTTAACAAATGTTCAAGATTGACTTCCACGGTGAAGGAATAGCATCGTGTAATAAAAATCAAACCCGCAAAATCATTATTTGCGTAATTACTGGTGGTAGGACCTCATGTGAGTCCGCACGGGTAGGTACCACCGCCCCGCCTATTTCTGCCGTGCAGCAGTAATGCGTTTCGGTTTGAAGGGTGGGGCAGCCGTTGTAACTATACTGAAACCTTAGAACTTATATCTCAAGGTGTGTGGCGCATTTACGCTCCCCTCCACGGTGTTTCCCGAGCGCTATGACATGTCCTTCTTCAAACGAGGCTTATGGAGAGTATTAAACGGTAGGCAGCGGCTTGGCTCTGCCCTTGGCATTGCTGAAGTCCATGGGCGACGGTAACCACTCACCATCAGGTGGGCCGTATGCTCGTCTGTCTAGAAAGGCAATAAAAAAAAAGAGATGTCTATGGGCTCCAGTAATAGGCCATAAAAAAAAAAACGTTCCACGGTAATATCGCGCTATTTATGATTCATGCAGTTGCGATATAACAAAGTGAATAACGTCTAGAGTTTGAGTCGGAATAGAATGAATGCACTGAATCGAAAAACAGTGAACATTGTAATTAAACGAGGTCAAAAGATAAATCAACCAAACTTGCTCCTTAACAAGGCAACAAAGTCTTCGAACGTTTGAATAATTTAGTCGCGCCAACGCTCGTCTTATCGGACCTGTGAATATTTTAAATACTTTAACCGTAACAAATACGATATATACCGGCGTAACGCCTTCATCTCGCCGCGCATTCGTCTGGCAGCCAAACATGTAATTTACGATTCTCATTAGTATACTCCGTTACAGAGTGAATTCTGGCCGGGCCAAACGCACCGCCCAACTCAGCCATTGACATTCATATTTTAACGCTAAACGTGACCGCTGACAACTAGACCACGACCGTACGTATACCGATTTTACGGCCAATCGATTCGAATAAAAATGAATACGTCAATCGAGAAAACGAATCGAGCGAAAACGAGTCTAATCGAATCACTCGACCGTTGGATATTCAAATATTCGAAAAGGAACTTAAGGACAGTTTTCGTTTGGAGTTTTTGCGAACGGTTAAACCAATGTCAGGGTGACCATTCCGAGCTATCGCAATCCGTAGTGGACCCGATTGACCTGAATCGATTTTTTTTATTTGCTTTTTAAAAGGGACACCGAATATCGATGTTTCGGTTCTCACATTGGATGAAGACATAAAAATTTAGGACTGGAGCGGCGCGTCAAAAGAGACCACATGCGTTATTTTCGTGGGATTTTTCGTGGTATTTTATTTTTGTTTAGTGTGTTATGAGCTAAATTGTTGGTTGCTGACGCCTTTTGTACCGAACCTATTATTTCTGGCTAACGACCGACTCGGATCATCGGCTAAGGACCGTGATCAAGGAATGTAATCATTTAGTTTTTTTTTATTTATTTATTACATGTGGCGTGTTTGTTTTCTGTCTTGTTAAACGTATAATTAGAATGGATATAATTTTTGATTAGAATCTGAATAGATTGAAAAAATATTTAAACGAGGGCCAAGAACCTCATTGAACTCAGGAAATTATCGACTATATATACGGACACATTACAGAGAGGTCTCCATTAACTTATTTCTTAACTACCGTTTTCAAATTGCAACTTAATCGTAGTTATAGGAATTTATTACTAGTTTTTACCTCTTAATTACAGTATTAAAAATATGAAAAACGTATTTTTATGAACAAAATTTATATTCGTCTATCATTTTCTATACTTAGAGAGCTTAATAGCTTCATCAACTGCGAATGAAAAAAAAACGATCTACAACTTACATTAATCACAGAACGCGTTAAGTGGCCACTTTATATGCAAACAGGGTCTCATCAGGTTGACGTCTCAATCTAAATCTTTATGGTTGCAAAACTGGATCAGCTATTCGCATCAGTAGCGAGATTAGTCGTGATTTACATGATAACATAATAATTATAATAAATATAAGACTATATTAGAACGATTAGAAGTTTTTTTCAAGATCGACCAGTTTGTGTTTGATTGTAATATACTTATTCGTTTTTAGTGAGTATTACAGGGTTATTTTATGCTTTTAAAGATTGTTTTGACTGTGCGATTTTTTAAATTTGATTTCGAAAATGCGAAAGCCTAGTGAGTTTTTTACCGGATCCTCTCAACGGGTCGCGGTACCGATCCAGGGGTAGATTCAGCGAAGCATTGCTCTTGCCAGGGCAGACTTTAGCATAGTCTCCTAGGCCGAGTCCCGGGAGCTTCGCCTATACATTCGGTGATGCTAGTATAACCCCTTGACGTTACTAGCGGTAAATAGGTAAAAAATTAAATATTAGGTATTTTGTATCTTATTGATTTACTTATAAGATCTAGCTCAGTGGCTCATCGATACGATGTCGGTACGATTTTATAACCGACGACAAAAATAAAGGCATTGATTAAAATCGTGAATGATAAAAATACGTGCGAACAATCGTAGTGCTTAATATACTTATCTGGTAATATCACGAGTCCTCAACCAACATAAATGTATCACATCGCATCTCCACGTTTGAACGAAGCAATTTTCTATGAAATAATTTCCACAAAAAATAACCCTTGTCTGAATTTTGAGATTAAATTATCATTTGTTCATTTGTTACAGGCTTGGAGTACTTAAGTGCAGCAAGGAGCTTACACCCAGAGCTTCATGCCGGAAGCACGCTCGCGAGCCAAGACTTTCAACTTAGTTTAGATGGTAATTCGATTTTTACAGTTTAATTTTTGTAAATATTTACTGGTGGTAGGACCTCTTGTGAGTCCGCGCGGGTAGGTACCACCACCCTGCTTATTTCTGCCGTGAAGCAGTAATGCGTTTCGGTTTGAAGGGCGGGGCAGCCGTTGTAACTATACTGAGACCTTAGAACTCATATCTCAAGGTGGGTGGCGGCTTTTACGTTGTGGATGTCTATGGGCTCCGATAACCACTTAACATCAGGTGGGCTGTGGGCTCGTCCACCCATCTATGCAATAATAAAAAAAATCTTTAGTTTTCGCGAGCTATAAATAAATTAAAACCAATTTTACTTCTTCATCTTCATCTTCAATTTATTATTACCGATATTTCGTTTACAACAGTTTGCAGTTTACGTGGTCGCTAACGTCATTGATTAAACAAATAAACACGAGATTAAATCGTAAAGTTAGTTTTAATTTTTATATCACTATTCAACTAATGGCGTTGGGCAGGGCATGTGGTTAGAGGTAAAGATAAATGGAGAAAAATTGTGACACGATGGTAGAACGCAAAAAAGATGGGATGACGACATAAGACAAAGTGGCAGGCGCCACATGGAACAGAGTGACTCAAGAAAGACATGAGTGGAAAAGGTTGGAGGAGGGCTTTGTCGATTGGCCAACAGATCTGCAGAAAATAAGAAAAAATCAAATAATAGGCTAGATTAAGGTTTAAATAAAATTTAAGTTTTCTATATATTATTATGTTTTTTTATTTTTTTATTGCTTAGGTGCTTGGACGAGCTCACAGCCTACCCGGTGCTAAGTGGTTACTGGAGCCCATAGACATCTACAACGTAAACGCGCCACCCACCTCGAGATATAAGTTCTAAGGTCTCAGTATAGTTACAACGGCTACCCCACCCTTCGAACCGAAACGCATTACTGCTTCACGGCGGACATAGGCAGGGTGGTGGTACCTACCCGTGCGGACTCCCAAGAGGTCCTACCACCAGTATGTATTATATTTAGTCATATAATTATAATATGGATCTGCATAAAAGGCTATATTGTTATTATTATTATTCAACTATTGATGTCTGTTTCAGGTTCTAGAATAGCGTCTCCAACGAGATTAAGGTTATCGGGCGGTGCAATCGGCGCTTCTGCGAATCGAAAACGGGCAGTTTCGTGGAGTCCGTATTCTGCGGAATCTCTGGACTTAGCTGCTGTGATCAGGGCGTCTCCAGCTAGTTTGGCAGTCAGAGCGCCGTCTGCCGCTTCCACAGGAAGCTATGGACATCTTAGTGCAGGTGAGGATTTTGCGTTTGACCGCGGGAACCTACTCTGACCGGGTTCTGACCCGGAGATCGGACGCCGCGTGTAAGAGTGCAGGGGAGTCGTTTAGTGCGGTAGGGCCCTAAAATTCCTTGGGCCCGCGGTCTGCTTTCAACACCTTGCAGATCGTCAAGTCCCACGTACGCCGCGCGCCTCCTAGGCGCGGGGACCTCGTAGGAGGTACGGCGCCCGGCCCAAAAAAAAGGGTGAGGATTTTGCGTAGCGATCATGATATAAGAATGCAATATTCGTTGTGGTTAGAACTCATAATTCTGTCAAAAGTTTGTACAACATATGATTGAAATAAACCAACAAAATCTCGCTCTATTGAGTTTTTTTTGCTAATTACCACTGAGTACTATGAATTTAGTAATTAAGTAAAATGTGGAAATTATGTACAGAACATTTATTTATTCAGGACAGGTACATGCATTAGGCCTTTAGCTTAGTTCATATTCTGTGAAATCTTGATTCCAAGGCCCAAGGTCTCCATACGATGCTCGTTTTTCAAGACTTCTATTACTAAATTTATCCTGTATTTACGTATGTACAGCAGTGGTAGCGATAATACAAGAAAACCGAATAGCGCCAGCTATTGGTGCTCACCTTAAAGTCGCTAACAATTCATACCTCTTTGCGTTACGGGCAAATTAAAATAATATATCATACTATAACCCTATGGTAAGAATGGTCAGGCAGTATAACGATTTGGGGAAATGTCTCGGTGACCTTGATATCTTTGAACCTAGACTCGGGATTTATCATATGAAGGATATTCTATTTAACAATGACTAGTTATCATTATAATGTTTGTGTTGGTTGTATTGTTGTCTACTTATGTGGATACCGTATTATTATTATTTTTTTTTTTTTTCTGGGACTAATATTTGTAATTTTATTTTTATTTTTATTTGTAATTAGTTTTTATTTGTAATTTGTAATTTTATTTTCAATAGTCAAAGCTATGTACATTAATACGGGTTATCTGAGTATATCATTTAGATTGTAATCCAGAGTAGATTTAGATACTAGGTACTCGTACGATTTAGCTAATATGTAATGTACTGTAATGATTGTAATTTGTTTTATGCATCAATAAATAAATAAAAAGACGTATAAACTATATAGATATCAAAACAAATGTTTTCTTTCGAGACTTCCGTTGAGTTGCCTCCACCGTAGTTATGATATTAAGAGCTTTAAATTTAATCTAAATAAAATCAAGGTGTGTCTAAATATTCAGCGTGGGAATAGCTTTTCTAATCCTACGTGTTTCCATCTGCGAAAGTTAACCACTACGATTTTATTAAAATACATTTCAGGAGCGATATCTCCAGCCCTTTCCCTCTCTCATGCTTCGTTGGCCCAACAATTGCTGGCTAGAGGAGGAGTGGTGGGAAGCAGTGGAGTACTGGCCGGAGGTGTACTGCTAGATCCTGCGCATCAACAGGCGGCCGCAGCTGCTGCTCATCATGCCGCTCATGCCCATCTGGTAGCTGGCATTCATAGGTAAGTTATTCATTGTAGAAATGTCGTTTTATTACCTTGAGTATCTTAGATTACCGACCCGCAATAATTTAAAAGGGTGTGAAGGTAGACACTAATATGTGGAGGGGGCGTTCTAAAGCGGTTATCTATATATATGTATATGAATATATATTACTACTTATATAAAATTTTACGATATATGTAACACTTTTATCAATTTTTTTTTGCTTCACGGCAATCCCCGATTAAATCGATCAGGGTACTACGTTCCATCCCAAGCAACATTACAATTAGTACAACTAAAACTTAGTCATTGGATATAAGCGTTTTTTTTGCCCAGATAGGTGGACGAACTCAGCCCATCTGGTTGTTAAATGGTTACTGAAACCCATAGACATCTACAACGTAAATGCGCCACCCACCTTGAGATATAAGCTCTAAGGTCTCAGTATAGTTACAACAGCTGCTCCATCCTTCAAACCGTTCACGGCTGAAATAGGCTGGGTGGTAGTACCTACCCGTGCGGACTCACAAGAGGTCCTACCACCAGTAAAAAGAGCATGCACATAATAAGGTTTGTTTATCATTTACACCGCTTTTAAAATGAATGTTCTTAAATAAGAAATTACTGGGTCAAGAGTAACGGAAAAATGTGGGAAAATACCACTAAGGAAGTGAGAGGTAGAAATGTAAAAGACGTAGTAGCAAGAGAAGAGTAGAATCACAAATCCGGATAATCTAATTAAAAGCTTTACAGATAACTAGCATTAAAATCGTTTTGATCGTTTTCCTGTCTATAAATTTTATCAGGTATTAACTACGAATAAATAATAAGTCTTAAAAACGGGTCACTCATGAAATTGATTGAAACAAATACTATCATTGTAAAGACTGGCCAAAACATGGTTAATCAAAGTCTAGATCACTTATACAACTCAGTGTTTCCTTGTTTGCAGATCTCACATATCGTCACCGACACAATTGCTCATGGGCCCTGTGGATGTCAGACAGGGCTTGGGACTAGATGGCACTCCTCCTCAGCACCTCCAGCAGCCTTCACAGCAACCTGAAATCACTAGTGTTATGGAAGCTGATAGGTAAATAAAAACATTCCACATTTAGAAGAGGGTCGTTCGGATTGTCTATAATCCCATTCTCACGGATCGTTTGGAACCTCTGGGTCTGCAAAGAAATTTCGGTTCCCTCTGTATTTTGTACCGTATGTTCCATGGGGAGTGCTCTGAGGAATTATTCGAGATAATACCATCATCTCGTTTTTACCATCGGACCGCCAGCCATCGGAGTAGAGCTCATCCGTATGGATGTGTGCAGTGGCTCCAGATAGTATTATCTGGAGCCACTGCACACAGGTTTTTGCCACGTACCATCAGCCTATGGAATGAGCTTCCCTCCACAGTGTTTCTCGAGCGCTATGACATGTCCTTCTTCAAACGAGGCTTGTGGAGAGTATTAAGCGGTAGGCAGCGGCTTGGCTCTGCCCCTGGCGTTGCTGAAGTCCATGGGCGACGGTAACCACTCACCATCAGGTGGGCTTGTCTACAAGGGCAATAAAAAATAAATGTGTAAATAAATTTAGAATGCAAGCTAAGATCGTATTCTTTGATTTTGTTCCCAAATACTAAATATCTTAAACACGTGCACTGCGGTCATTGCATTAGTTAGCTCTTTTAACTTGTGCCTTATGCGGACATGTTGGTCTAAAGACAACTCTATTGTAATGGGTTATGAGATCAAATTAGCCTTAATCCACTTGTTGATTCTACTACTTTCTGGCGGTGAGCATTAGTGCAAGTAACTAAATGCATTTGACATGTTTAAGTTTAAGACAGTAAGACAAAATAATTTACATATACCGAGTGAAATAGGTGTACTTTTTGGAACTGCGTGGAAATTCTGCGTATACTATATAACATACCATAGGGAATGTGTAATATACATATAATGATATGAAGTACTTCAGTGTGCTTAGTGAGAGTTTCTTAACGTTCTCGATAGCGTAAAAGTTAAGCCAATTTTGTATGCAGTTGGAACAACGCCCCTAGCGGCAAACGTACGCAAAGGATTCCATTCCATAGAAATATGAGCTAACTTTTACGCTATCGGGAACGTTATAAAACTCGCACAAAGCACACAGAACTAATAAACAATAAAAGACTTGCGTTTTCCGTGATATAATAAGAAAAAAACATTTAAAGCCCTTAATCTCTTTTAAAATTAATATTAAAAATTAAACAGTAAACCACTGTGTTCCATGACACTGAAGAAAAATCCTATAGGTTTTTCTTTACATACGTATTATGTATATCTTATGTATATCCACTGATTACGAAGTGGAATCGAACCCGGAGCCCATCACGCATTGACTCAGTATAAAGTCCGTGAACCCAAAACCACCGAGACTTGAGTTCTGCGCTCGATGTTGAGTTGGCAAAAGTAACAAACAATTAATTTAAAGTCATAATAACAAAAAACCTATATCGACTCATAATTTTGATTGAAGTAAAGATAATTTAATCATAGACATTCTGGTCGCCGTCCTCGCCGAACCCGTCGCTTGCAATGAAGGGCTCGATGAGCGAATTAACCCACAGACACAGCCCACTGAGTTTCTCGCCGGATATTCTCAGTGTGTCGCTTTTCCGATCCGGTGGTAGATTCTGCGAAGCACTGCTCTTGCTAGGGCCAGTGTTAGCAACACTCTGGCTTGAGCCCCGTGAGCTCACTTAAGGTGAAGCTGAAATAACCTCTCAAGGCTATCAGCATAGGTAGGGAAAAAAAAACATAGACATTTCCAACCTATTTTTTGATTTCAGTGCTACAGGGCTAATGCAGCGCAAGTCGCCTCAGGGTATTCTCACGCACCGAGATAACGTGAGCAACAAGCCGCTCTCGGCCGCCGCGGAGAGCACAGTCCACGACGGCCTCGACTCCAAAGACGAGCCAGGAGATTTTATCGAAACCAACTGTCATTGGGTAAGTTTTTGTTGCAGCTTAGATGGTTGGTTGGAAGGGCTCACGACCCATCTAATGTTAAGTGGTAACCCACCTTTCGAGACATGAGTTGTAAGGTCTCAGTTTTAACAGTACTTCAAACCGAAATGTATTACTGCTTCACGGCAGAAATAGGTCGGGCGATGGTGTCTACCCGTGCGGCCTCACAAGATGTCGTAACACCAGTAATATTTATCGCACTACTTATGTCACATGACGCCGAAGTCTCAGCTGTATTATAGAGGGGCTGTCGCATCATTCAAGCCAGAACTGGTTGATTTGCGGCAGAAATAGGGAGGATTATAGTACCTATCTTTTTGCCTACCTATCCGTCAGTGGCTGCGAGGGGCTATTCTGGATTTGTCGTGACTAATGATAAACACCTTATCAGACCGCGACGGGGTAAGGCAAAGCCGACGTCGCCCGAAACGTGTCTTGTCGGATCCCCCGGATTCACTCTCGGTGCTTTTAGGCCTCTCAAACATCGGTCACCGTCCTCGTCGAACTCGTCGACTACGACGAAGAGTTTGACGAGCTAACTAACTCATAGAGGCATCCCACTAAGTTTCCCGCCGGATTTTCTCAGTTGGTCGTGATTCCGATCCGTTGGTACTCGAAGATTCTGCGAAGCGCTACTCTTGCTAGGGCTATTATTAGAAAATTCTCTCACGTTGAGCCCGTGAGCTCACCTACCCGTCTGAGCGTAGCTGGAACAGTCTCTTAGGATACTATAGGTAAAGAAAAAAAAAAGATCACACTTTGCTCAATCTGAGAGGGTTTGCTAACATCTGCCCTAGCTACATGAGTAATTTGCTGAATTAACCAGTGGATCGGAGATGGCGATCGGAGTGAGGATCCAGTGGAGAAACTTCGTGGCTTGTGCCTATGGGTTAGATTATTATACTTCGAAGTCTTCGGCATATTCGATGAGTTCAATGAAAGCGATGACCGGGGCTTGTAATGCCTAAAAGCACCAAGAGAGTGGATCAGAAGGATACGTGACATACTTAGGATGCTGGCGGCTGTTCTTTGCCCCGTCGTCTGGGTTGGTGGTGTAACTTGCGGTACCTACCAATACTACCAGTAATTTTTTTTTTTATTGCTTATATGGGTGGACGAGCTCACAGCCCACCTGATGTTAAGTGGTTACTGGAGCCCATAGAAATCTACAACGTAAATGCGCCACCCACCTTGAGATATAAGTTCTTAGGTCTCACGTATAGTTACAACGGCTGCCCAGCCCCTCAAACCGAAACGCATTACTGCTTCACGGCAGAAATAGGCAGGGCGATGGTACCCACCCGCAGGGACTTACAAGAGGTCCTACCACCAATTACACAAAATATTGTAAATCTCTGCTATTACCTGTATTACTGACCTAACCTGAAACAGTCCATGACCTGTATTCATAGTGAAACGTACAAAATTGCTTATAGGTGGACTGCAAGCTTGAATTTCCCACTCAAGATGATTTGGTGAAGCATATTAATACGGACCACATACACGCCAGCAAGAAGGCGTTCGTCTGCCGCTGGGTCGGCTGTTCCAGAGACGAAAAGCCTTTCAAAGCCCAATACATGCTTGTCGTTCACATGAGGAGGCACACTGGAGAGAAACCTCATAAGTGCACTGTGAGTATTATATCTTCATTACACATTGACACATTATATCTTCGCCTTCTGCTTTTCATCTTTAGCCATTAACTCTTGTCATGCTACCAAGTGATTCATCAGTTTTACTAGTTTCATTTGAGTATGGTACTTGATCTATCCGTGTATAACGTATGACATATTCTTCGGTATTCATGAGTCGACGAGATAAAACTATAGTAATACTTCTACGTTGTTTAGTATCATTTTTGTTATATATATTTCGAATACCTTGAATGTTTTGTGATCATGAACAATCCCAAAAATTGTAAAGTTTTTAAAACGTCGAATATACTGTGATGACAGTAAAAAAAAAGTCCAGATTTTTTTTTATCTTTTAACCTTAGCGAGGACTAAAAACTTATCAAATTTTATCATTTGCAGTTCGAAGGGTGCTGCAAAGCGTACTCCAGGCTGGAAAACCTGAAGACCCACCTCCGGTCGCACACTGGAGAGAAACCGTACACCTGCGAGTATCCGGGGTGCGCTAAAGCTTTCTCCAACGCGAGCGACAGAGCTAAACATCAAAACAGAACGCACAGCAATGAGGTTGGTTCGCAAGACTTACCAGCGAATTCTTTTGAACGCTTTTCAGAGGCGCGCGGCACTAGCAAATCAAAGAAGCGATTACAGAATTGTTACCACATTTAGTTTTCGTTGCTTAGGTGGCTGATCAAGCTGACGGCTCATCTGATTTTAAGTGGTTACCAAAGCCCATTAACACCAGCAACGTAATTGCCACCTCCACCGCCATTGAGACATGAGTTCAAAGTCTCCGTTGGGAAAAATCATGGTGTCCAATATACATATCTTTTTTTGGGTATCATGTGAACGGGAAAATAATATGACTGGAATGGACGATGGAGATATGCTGAAGTTGACGCGTTCTTCAAGTGAGATTTGAGGATAGGCTTTATGTTCATAATATAGCAGAAGTACATTCATGAGGGTCAACGACCGCTCCCCGTCTTTTGGACCCTACGCTTATAACGGCAATGAAAAAACATGATCTTTACTCTTTTACATTTCTACATTATTATTTTCAGAAACCGTACGTCTGTAAAGCGCCGGGTTGCACCAAGAGGTACACCGACCCCTCCTCGCTCCGGAAACACGTGAAAACCGTTCACGGAGCCGAGTTCTACGCAAGTAAGAAACATAAGGGTAAGTAAAACGTAGCAGCGATGATAAATGCACAACAAAATCCTTTAAATAGTTGTATCTGCAACAAGGCGTATAACCGCCCCCAAACTTAAAGAGATTGAGTTTGAACAGAGTCTACGAGAAAAAAAAAATTTCAAGGAATAATCTTTTTCAAGTTTGACTGATTCGGTAGCGCCCGTGATTGCGGGATTGAGGGTCGTGAGTTGGGTTCCCGCACATTCGTGTGAACAAGGTTATTTGCTAAGGAACAATGGTCAAGTTAGACAAGGGTCTAAGTATTTATTATCATTACGTGTTCTCTTTCTGGGTCTCTTAAGACAGGGAATTCTAGTTTAGAGCCAGATTACCGAGTGTTATTGACTTTGTTACCTATATAATAAGTTGGGGGAAAAGTTTCATCGCATTTTTTAAGAAAATTCACAACATTTTTTAATGTACTTTATTTACATTTAACTAAAGTATGTAAGTACCATTTTGTTCCATAACTAATTTTTCTACTTTCCTAATTTGAATTTGGAATTATCTTCGTTAAAATTTAAACTTTTGATGATACCAAAACCAGCCAGATACAAACAGTATAGCCGAAGAGATTTTATTACAAGTTCATACATACTATAATGCGAAAAGTCTTTTTCCCCAACCTATTAATTAAATATGAACAAGAATGAAAAATTAAAATTATGGATCTTTTTACAAGATTGACAACACAGACACTACAAACTTTTCCTTCTTCACTAGTAATATATATTGCATTTTTCGCTTTTGTCTTAATTTGGCCTCTCGTTAATGCCTATTTGCTAAGAAAATGCTTATTATGACGATCGTGATGGAACATTTTAAGTATTCCAACATAGGTAATCGGTCGGACGCATTGGAACACAAAAAATATTGTACATTACCGATTCTGTTTTCAATTCTTTTAGGTTGCACGAGAGGTGACGACTCCGCGGAGTCTGGCGGTGGTGGCGCAGGGTCGTCTCCTCGTTCGGAGGAAGGCGGAGTACCACCCGCGATCCGGGGTCACACATCATCGGCGTCCGTCAAGAGCGAGAGTCCCGCGTCGCCTATACCGCACGGCTTGCACACTTCCGCCCACCAGGTCCATTACGATTCCGTCACAGATTATTATAAGGTTTTAATTTTATTATTATTACTGGTGGTAGGACCTCTTGTGAGTCCGCGCGGGTAGGTACCACCACCCTGCCTATTTTCTGCCGTGAAGCAGTAATGCGTTGCGGTTTGAAGGGCGGGGCAGCCGTTGTAACTATACTGAGACCTTAGAACTTATGTCTCAAGGTGGGTGGCGCATTTACGTTGTAGATGTCTATGGGCTCCATTAACCACTTAACACCAGGTGGGCTGTGAGCTTGTCCACCCATCTAAGCAATAAATAAATAATAAACATAATGGTAATCATAGGTGTCTTCAAGCATCAGCTCAGGGTAGCTTAAGGTTAAGTGGTAGCCCGGAGATATCGCGAATTCATGAACATTGCTGTCCTCAGACCGGATATCGAAGACTTAATTATTCTTTAATAACAGCTGTGTTTAACGCGTGGTTATCTCACACAGGATCCGTTAAGATCGTATATACCTTTTCGGTCTCACCTAGCGCGAACCCTATAAAAGATGCGTATAATAAAAGAGAATTTGAACTAGAAGAAATAATATGTAAATATAAATTAAAACAAATTTTCTATAGACAATATTATGAGTAAAAAAAATATGATGTACAGTTGTCTGCGCAATGCGGTGGGGAGCTGGACTTCGGCGGTGGTCTGGGAGGATACCGGGATGAAAACGGCCTGCCGTACTTCAGATTAGACGGAGAGGTCAGTCAAAGCTTAATTTATCAATTCTTCAATTTAATCAATCTCTGTACTAAAGCTTATCTCATGGCTTTGATAGCCATAATTTTAATTGTCCAAACTAAATATTTCAAGTTGGATTCTATTGTATTATGGATTCGATTTGTCGTGGCCTAAAGGTTATGATACCTGGTGTACTCATATCGAGCAATACGACTGTGCTAGGTTCGAATTCCGTTGGCAAGTGCCAGTTTTTCTAATGATATGTATTTAACAAATGTTCACGAATGACTTCTCCAACGAAAGAATAATAACTTGCCTAATTACTAGAAGAGGGGTGTAAAGTGAGTCTGCAAGGGTAGGTACTACCGCCCCGCCTATACGAAGCAGTAAGGTATTCTGGTTTAAATTCTGGGGCAAAATTATATATTGCAACCGAGACTTCGAACCTTCACCTTGTGGCCAGTTCCACATTCCAGTTCATCCATCAACACATTTTTTTTTTTAAATATTTATCTGCAATCGGCTATATAGCCATAATCCAAATGTGTTCCGAGAGGTTCGAGTTGCGGATGACATTACATTAAATGTCATCAATTACAGCATTAAATTTAATTTCTTCGGTGTGAGTTTAAAATTTGCCATCTTTTTAAACGTTTCACATCTGCAGTTGCAACACATTTAATGAAAAAAAAATGTCTTTCAGATCGAGCAGGAAGTGGTCGGTGAAGTGGGACAGTTGCCGCTGATGCTGCGAGCTATGGTCGCTATCGGCGAGCCCCGCGCCGCCCCGCACGCCCCCCGCCTCGGGAACAAGATGGCGCTTGCGAGGATGCCACCGCCACACGCCGACCTCGGAGGAGGCGAGTTACTTTTCCGCATTTGTAAATACAGCACATTATAAAATTAACTAGCGACCCGCCCTCACTTCGCATCGGATACTGTAATTTATTATTGATTTATCCACTATTTAATGGATGTTAATATACGTATAAACCTTCCTCTTCAATCACTCTATCTATTAAAAAAACCGCATCAAAATCCGTTGCGTAGTTTTAAAGATTTAAGCATACATAGGGACAGACAAATATAGGGACAGAGCAAGCGACTTTGTTTTATACTATGTAGTGATTAATTAATTAAGCCAGATAGTCAGATCTAGTAAGGGAGGCACTTGGTAGTGTGTGATCCATACCACCCATGACCGAACACTGTGGAGGAACGTCACATGTGGTCGCAATCCTCAGCAATGAGAGAACGATATAGAAGAGAGATAAAATTTTAATGTAGCGATTGGAATTCAGAATCCAGATGGACCGACGACCTGGTGAAAATTGCTGGGTCACGTTGGATGCAGGTGGCAATGGACCGGCCGCACTGGACATCAGTTGGAGAGGCCTATGTTCAGCAGTGGACAGCAGACAGGCTGAAATTATGATGATGATGATGATTGGAATTCTTGCTCTCCTCCTCTTTCAGTCGCGCCTCTCATATCTGAGGGTCGTGACCACCTCCATTCATGAGTTTCGTCCTCATGTAACATGCCATCTCACCCTGTTTTCGGGTACTTTGAAACCAATGTAGGTGGTGGAATCGAGGGTCGTGTGGACCAGATCAGATCAACACATTGGACTGCCCGCGATCGTTTTCCTTCCACTTTGCCAATAACCCCTAGTTTTTCAAGACCGTCTCCGTCTTTTCTGGAAACGTGTCCGAAGTACTGTAGGATTCGCTTGAGGCAGATTCTAAAAGTCTGACTTGAGCGATATGTAAAATGTGTAGATGGGTTTGTTGAGTCTCTATATCGGGTCAGACGATTAATAAGACACGTGTTCAGTTTAGTGACTAACGTATATTGGGATTACAACCTAACGTGCTATCGACAGCCGGACAATCCCGAGACTGACGTAGCATCATTGCAATATAATTACCGCTAACACATACATATAATTGTTAGTTGCTATAGGGACATTTGTGGTCCCTACAGGTTTATATGAACGATCAATTTCCTGTTGTACAGGCGGAGTCACGGGGAGGACAGAGCTGGGCGGCACCAACGTTGGGGTGGAATTGAAGACCGGGGCCTCTAACACGAGGCGCGATTCTGGAATTTCAAGCGGCAGCAGCCTCTACAGCGCCAGGTGAGTGCTCGTCCGACACGTGCTTGAATCTAATAAAGCTTATTGGTCTTGGTCGAGGTTATCACCCAAATAACGGCTGTCGCTTATGTGTATCAGCAATGGTGGGGATTTGGTCCAGCAGTATCAGTGAGAATGTAGCTTCGATGGTGGGTTGGGGATTGAAGTCGTCGTGGCCTAAAGGATAAGACGTCGTGTAGAGGGATACACCGGTGTTCAAATCCCGCAGACGGATACCAATTTGTCTAATGAAATACGTACTCAACAAATGTTCACAATTGACTTCCACGGTGAAGGAATAACGTCGTATAATAAAAATAAAATGCGCACAATTATAATTTGCGTAATTACTGGTGGTTAGAACTCATATCTCAAGGTAGTTGGCGGCATTTACATTGTCTATGGCCTCCGGTAACTACTTAAAAAAATGGTAAATACAAATGATGTGATCTAAATTTTCGAAGAACCACGTGGAATGTAATCTGCATACACTAACAGGGGTTGTTCCATTAAACAGGTCTTCGGATATATCGCGTAAAAGCAGTCAAGCATCAGTTGTGTCGGGAGCAGTGGTAGGAGGACTCGGGGCGCAACGTCTAGTCGCCCACCACACCGCGGCGTACGACCAGCTCTCTCCCGACAGCAGTCGAAGGTAAAGTAGCACTTTATCGTAAATTTCAGCGACATTACCAATTCTTTAAGTAATCTCCCAGCGCACCCTCGACTGAAAAGCGGATTGAGCTGCATCAAACTGCTCAATTGAATTCAGTTAATTGAATGAATGAATGTAATATGGATGCAAGATCTGAATTAAATGAAAAAAAAAAAATAAAAAAAAAATAGATACCAATTGTTGGTACCTTAAGCTCTGTATTGCTGTAAATTCTTAAAACAACGTAATTATTAAAAATTAATTATCACTTTGAAAAATCATGTCACACAGTTTGTGTGCAGTAATTTTGCGTAGGATCACTAAGAAATCGGCAGAGATTTATTATTCCTTTCTTGTCTCTCGCTTTTGAGGGAAATAGATACTCTGTTTAAGGAAACTCTAGTCTACGTATTGCTTTAAGCTTTATATTTGTTACTAATCAATCAGTCGTAGTTCGTTTCCAAGTGATTCTTGTCCACCTGATGATTGTCTGGAAGAGATCGCTAGCGTTAGCTATAAGACCGCCAATAGTACTTTTTTTTATTTAATGTATCGCACTGTTTATTTGTTTTTTGGTGTACAATAAAGAATACTTTCTCTCTCGTATGCGCTCTAGGCAGAGTGGTCGTGGTCACCATTTCGGGTGGTGGTGCGCTTTACCAGCCGTCGCCATTCCTCGCGTACCGCAGCCCTTCTTGTGTACTCGTTAACAGGACCGTTCAGAGCTGCCTTTGTTTGGTCGGTCGTAACCGTAATCTGCCGCGCGGTGGTGTAAAACCTCTATCACGCCCCGCCGTCGTCGTCACCCCGTCACGACATATCTAATAAATAAATAAATAAATAAATATTTACTAACAATCACGCCGCGTTAACTGGTCCCGTGATAAGTTCGTAAAGAACTTGTGTTACAGGTACCAGATAACAGATATAAATGTAAGATTTTTATTATAAACATACACATATTTAATATACATCCATAACCCTGGAAAATACATTTTATATTTATCGTACAAATATCTTCCCTTGGCGGGATTCGAACCCGCGACCCCCTTGTGTAGTGACCATGTCACTTACCACTACACCAGACGGCCGTTCGTAATACTATTACTAATCATAACGTCCGTTTATTCCAGATCTAGTCAAGTTTCGTGTGCGGGATACGCGCCGCCGCCCTCATCAGCCCTGGCCGCTGTGCAGGCCGTCAGGACATCGCAAGGGAATCAGGTACAGGTCTCACAATTCCACTTTCAGGACACGATAATACTAGACTTCGTATGTAACACGTGCTGTATTTTTCTTCAAGCGCCTCTTCATAAACATCAGTTAGCTACTTAATTCAGTTTTTTATTGCTTTGATAGGAGAACGAGCTCACGGCCCACCTGATGTTAAGTGGTTATCGGAGCCCATAGACATCTACAACGTAAATGCTGTTACCCACCTTGAGATAAGAGTTCTAAGGTCTCAGTATAGTTACAAGTATAGCAAGCAATTATATTTAATCGTTTCTGATGCTAAAGAGCCACGACATCTTGCATCTTCCCACATCACGCTTACCAGGAATCGTGCTCATCATGATAATTTCCAACAAATCATACGCGCTGAAGTATTTCTGTAGCTTTGGGTGGTCGCTTCGAATTACGCTGCCCTGCAACCCTCAGACACATCCCACTGAGTTTCTCGCCGGATCTTCTCAGAGGGTCGCGTTTCCGATCCGATGGTAGATTCTGCGAAGCACGGCTGTTGCTAGGGTTCGTGTTAGCAACGTCGTCAGGTTTGAGGCCCGTGAGCTCACCTACTAGTTAAGGTTACGCTGAAATAGCCTCTCAAGGCTCTCAGCTTGGGTAGGAAAAAAAACCGCCCTGGTAAAAGAACTACTAGCAAAGATTTACTGGCGTCGTATAAGAAGGCGTGAACTTACGATCCAGTTCATTTTAGGGATTTAACGTCACTTATCTAAAATATTAATTGCTAGTTACTACAAGCGTAGCCGGTCCCTACTTTTATAAAATGACTAGTTGTATCCGTCCGCTTCGCTGGGCATTTAAAATTAACATTATTATTTCTCACCCCCACAAAGATTCTCATCACTAACGCCCCCGCAACTGGTGTAGGGAGTACACTCATATACACACAACACTCATATAAATATTAGCCTATCCATTAAGTTCATGTATTTTCTACATGGATACCAAGTTTCAAGTCAATCGAATGCACGGTTCAGTAGTTATAACGGAACATCCGTAAAAACCACTGTAGATTTATATATTAGTATAGATAAAATTAAATAGCGATCTCTCGCGCTATCTTCCAGGCCATCCTACTCCGGGGAGTCACATGTTCTGAAGTCAGGGCAGAGGAACTAGCGTTGGAGTTGGATCCGAACGTTCAAGTGAAAGAAGAGGCGAGAAGACTCTCGGAGCAGTCGAACTTAAGTGACCAGACCCAAGGCTACCAGCCGTACCCTTGCGGAACCGACGGTTTGGTAAGTTAAGGTTTTTTGCTCAAATGCCAACTTTTCAGACACCATAATTCATATTGATGTTGAGTTATTACCCAGCTGTATCTATTTCTGCTGTGTCTATTTCTGTAACGCTATGCCAAAAGTCAAGATCTTCAAATTCAATGTCTAGGCTGTCACATTCACGCGACGGTGTCTACAGATTCTGATAATTACTTGGGATCATGTGCATTTTTAATTTGACTAAATCTTACAAAAATGCAGTAATCATATTATTTTTTTACGTAATAGTGAAAGAAGATGCATCATTTTTTTAGAAATTCCTATAGATAAATTATTTAACATGTCTTGAAGAGTTTCAGAGAAGTTGATTCTTTTGTCTTCAACATTTCATCGAAAATAATTTTGTTATTAAATGCTTTTAGGGCGACGCTCCGTTCCCGTTCAAAACTGAATGCGACCAGGAAACTGTGACGTATAAGGAGTCACGGTCCAATTCCACCAGCACCGTGGTGGTCACCACGGCACAGATCCACCACCCCAACCAGGAAGTCAACTTGGAACAGGTACGAATAAAAATGACTTGGTGTTTTCAAATTAATTAATATACCGATTGTTATTGTTGCAAAGAATACAAAATATCTATCAAGAAATAAGATTGTATGTACAGTAAAGATAACAATAGTGTAATGATTATTTCAGTCACATTGGAATACCAGCATAAAGCGGTTTTTATGTTAAATTAATTGTTTAATATTTTTTTTCTCATAAGGTGGCTGAAGGCGAAATGGTGGAGAACAAGCTGGTGATACCCGACGAAATGATGCAATATCTTAACCAATCAATATTGGCAACCGAAGCGGAAACATCAGCTAAAACGGACTCCGCGAATCGACCTAACACAGAACCGAGTCTAGATAAGGACAGTGCTACCAAAGACAATACCACAAACGAACAACAAAACACTAATAATTCCAGTGATAAAATCAGTGACGTAGCGACCAGTGACGATTCTCTACTTAAAAATCTAGGTGCCATAGGAAGTGATCTCAATATAAGTGATATTCAAGTCGATTTAAGGTCGTTAGACGTTAGTATGTCGGGCAACAGCGGCTCTCTTCTGGCTGTCAAAACACCCGAAGATAAAACTCCTCTACAAGAACAAGTCACCCCGGAAGTCAAAGCAGAGAACAAAGAAAGGGAAACGAAGAAATCGGATCCGAATCCTTTGCAATCACTGCAAACGATGACAGCCAACCAGACTGAACAATCCAATAAAATTAGGGCTAATGCTCAGAAACAGAATAAGACGAATACTAAGACTATAATGAGTCAAAATATTTTGAGTCCGCAGAACCTGCCTCACAGCATGTTGAGTCCACAAAGCCTCCCGCACAGTGCAATGAGTCCACAAAGCGTTATGAGTCCGCACAATATCCCACAAAATATTATGTCCCCTCCCAGTGCTTATAACGTGATGAGCCCCCAAAGTGCGATGAGTGTAATGTCCCCGCAGCATAATGCCATGAGCCCACAAAGCATGCAAAGTCTCATGAGTCCACAGATACCCAACCAAATAATGTTGAGCCCTCGTCACAATAACGTCAGTAGCCCCATGTCACAGAATATGGCTAGTCCCATGATGAACATGGCTAGTCCGATGGGACAGACCATAGCCAGTCCCATGAGCCACGGTATGCCCAGCCCCATGCATCCAGGAATGCAAAGCCCAATGGGACAGGGCATGGCAAGTCCAATGATACAAAACATGCCGGTGGCTATGAACGGACCTGTGAACCCCAATCTCCAAAATCAAATGATCAACGTTAATCAACAACAAATGGCTCTCAGCTATCGGCCCAACTGTCACAGAATGCCGGCCCGGCCAAATATGCCGATGCCGAACCAGTATACGCAAAATTACAACAACAACCAACCACCACAATATCCAATGCAAAACCAAAATGTTAACGTGCACCATCAAAACGTGCAAAATTATCAAATCATGCAATCTTACAACCAGAACCAAGCACCGACGGTCAATCAAATGGTTCAAAATCAGAACGTTCATTATCCGAACCAGCCTATGATCAACTACCAACAGATGAACTTCAACCAGAACAACCGTGCTCACCCGATGCAGTCGTCTAGATCGTCCATGATGAGCGTCGACAACAGCGGCAACATGACCCGGGGTGTCATGACCAGTTACTGCGACACGCAACACCAGTGCCCGCCCGCACAGACCAATCATTACAACCAGAATGTACAGTACCCTCAGCCGCCTCCATACAATGCCGTCGTCAATAACAACGTGATGGGACCTCCACCACCGAAGAACAATCACCAATACAACCAAGCTATGATGAACAATAACCAATATTACAATCACCAGAGGCCTTACAACCAATGGGACTATCCAGGCAATCAGTTCAACAAACACAATCCACAGAAGTCCACACCGAATTCCGTGAACATGTCGACGGGAAGCCAGAAACAAGTCAAGTGCAACCGGCTGACGAACTGCAACCAAATCAAGAACGACCAGGCCGATTGCAGCATGAACAGCCTGAGGAGCCAAAACAACCAGCCCAGCGAAGTCCAAGTCTGGGACATATCTCAGTCGCAAATCGAAGCGAACAACGGAAGACGGAAGACCCAAAACAATTCAATGAGACAGGAAACTTATCAGAGAACGCTGGAGTACGTCGAGAACTGTGAAAACTGGAAGAGTTCTGAAATGGTGTCGAGCACCACGCATCCCCTGCAAGGCGATAATATGGTTGTGAATGACCTCCAGACGTCTTTGTCTTCGTTTTACGAGGAGAATCAATACCTCCAAATGATTCAATAGTTGCTTAAGTGTATTATTAATATTTTTTTTGTAAAATCAAGGACATAAACTACATACTTGAACAGTGCACTAATGCCACATATTCGATTTCCAATTCACTTATTGTAGGGCAGTTAACAAGTGAGAGTGTACGTAATGTACTATGCTCAAGTTTCAGAAGTCAATCGAAGCAACCATACCATTTTTAACTTTCAACGAAATTATATAAAGAATTTAAATAGTTTATATAGTTTGGCATAGCATTTTTTATCAACTTATGCAATTGTAATTAGACGATAATAATTTAATATTAAACCAATAATAAAATAAGACCACGCTATATTTATAAATATTAACAAAAGCAAAACGTTAACTATCCCCTTCACACTCACAAGCTAGACCGCGCGAGAGAGAGATGGGCAGACATTTCATGATGCGCATGCAGTGTGACATCACGCCGCGCGCATATTCACAAACACTACACAAGCGTAACGTGTGAATGTGTTGAACGCGAGCTACATGGTAGGCGGGGTGGGGGTGTTAGGTTTTATTTTCGTTACGGAATTTCTTGATTCGGTCGCCGCGCTCCAAGCCCGCGATAACAGCAATGCAATAGCTTAAAAACATTAACCATTTCAAATTGACACGGCAAAATAATTATAATAATAAATGCGAAGATATGTGATATTGGGTGGATCTTTGATACTCATTCTCGCAATAACTACAGCACAGATTTTGATGAAACTTCATAACCGAACCACATGAGCTATAATCTAGTACGAAAAATGTACTGCAGTTGTAGTTTCAATTGCCCTATATTTTTCATGCCATTTCCCTGTGAACTGTAGTATCTCTAGTTCCTAATGCGGTAGTGGGTGGATATGACCTCGTAAAGGTCAGTCGTTTGAAGATCCGTTCTTTGGATATCCGTGTAACAACACTGAATACGTCGGATGTCGGATCGCTACCTCCCTGAAAACCTCTGTTCAGGTTCGTGGATTATGTATCCTTGATTCTTGGTGCATTGAAACATAGGTTGTTGCTACACGTCCCTTCGAGACTGATTATTTTTTAAAACATACTTTTACATATAAAAAATTAAAAAAAAAAACGTTAACCTAAGTTCTAAAATTTAAAAGACATCGTTTGAGATTGTACATAGCAAATCGTCTTCCAATAGTACTATTATTGCATTTACATGTAATTTTGTAGCTTTTTACATAAAAAAAATGTGCCTTAGAATGTACATACACGAAACTGTACATACTTTTAAGATACAATGTATTTTGTGCCTTAAACGTTCTTAGATTACGTATTATTTTGTATTTTTAATTTTTAGTATATCACATAAGTGATCTATGAGATTATTAGCTGGAATAAAATTTTGTACAAAATAGATATTTTCATTAGGATTTTTATTGTAATTTCGATCGTTGATTAAATATTAACTAACATTAATTTAGTTATGAATCTCTTAGAATTAGTTTATTATAATTTTTTAATTGAGATTACTAGTTTTTAAGTATTTGTTAATGGTATTTAAATTTACGCACAAAACGAAAAGTAGAGAAATAAATGAACTGTATCTTGTAGTAAATTATTTGTTTTATACTGTTTTGTAATAGTTGGGGGACATCTGTGACATTTATTTTCAAATAAATATTCTTGAATGAAAATGTGGCATCATTAATTTTTGTGTTTTTCTTTGTTGAATTTTTTTGGTAATACTCTTGTCGTCTGATGCGATACTATAATGCGGTTTAGTGTAGAAGGTATATTGACGCCAATATATAATTAGAACACACATTAATGTACATAAAAAATTACATAAGGAAGTAAATCACAAAATCCTTTAAATCAAACCTCAAAATTTCAATATGATATTCGATACTACTGTATATTTTAAATGAGTCATGAGCGAACTTTTCTTTATATATTTTGTTATAAAAGTCTTATGCCATCATCGCTGAGTATGTACATCAATAGAGGATACATATAGGTTTCTGCCTACCGTCTCGCATCGCGATTTAGAACATTTTATACTACACGGGGAATACCAATGAGGGGAATTGATTCCAAATCCGAATGGTATGTAGCAAAAAAGGACTTCTTGAAACACGCTGCTGATGAAGGCACTACTTCTAGGTAGTATGGATGAATCCAGTTCCCGTGGCTCCTTTAGTCAAGTTTTCAGAAGAGTTTTAGCGTAAGGCAGTGACTTGTTGACCTCTTGCATTACATACGTTCATAAGCGTCGGTGCTCACTCACCATCAGGACGTATGCTCGTCCGCCTAGTAGCAACAACAAGTCAGAGACTAGTAAAGCCGTTATCATTAAAACATTGCGACAGATCTCATCTGAATCATGTGAAATCTCGATTATCGTAATGAGCCGTCGCGCTGATCGCGAAGCCGTCTTTTCTTTAACATACAATTTCGAAGACACCGGTTTCTGACGAGCAACGTAACCGCAGTGTGTACGATCAAAGAACAATTTCAGTGTAGGGTCCTTTAGATTCTTATTGACGCGGTGACAGGCGAGCATCCGACTCACCTAATAATAAGTTTATACAGGCGCTTACCGACATCAGCATTGCGAAGTCCTTGCTCATAGCCGAGGACTCATTTCAAAGGATGTTTCAAGGTATTAGCGCCTTTCCGAGAAGTCTCGGAAGTCATGGTAAGTACCATGAAAATATTTAGTTTTAGGTTTTCAGACGACTTAGATATAATTAAAATTATATTTACAATTTTAATCTCATAATAACTTGAAATAATCGTATATAACATTATTCGAAATTACAACACAAAATCGATAAAACAAACACGGTATTTATCAATATAATTAATTGACGGTTGACATCTCGGCTATACTTGACCACGAAAACTGTAAAATAATCGCAACATCTGAAATTAATATAATGATAATAAAAAAAAAACACAAAAAATTAAACCGTAAAAGTATTTTTAATCGTGTCCACAACACGCGAAGGTCGAAGAAAACACAATTATTACTATAAAATTGATTTAATCATTAACAGTCACAAAACTAAAAGTCTAGAATAAATCCAGCTCGGCAAACGCGAAGACTCGTACAGTAGAATATTCATGAAACCATTCTTGAAGATACGAATAATATAACAGAAATATCCGCACGAGCAAACATTCCACCGAGTTACGTCATTGAACGCGTTCAAAATAGACGTGTATTTGTGTAACCGTTGCCAACAGACGGCATCAATAAAATTGGTTTATGTAAAAAAATAAAAAATGGTGAACTGCGGCCGTGTCGTGTGGGACCTCACGTACAGAAACTCTCTTGAAGACATTTTTCGCCGTTCCCTCACTGCTGAGGATCGCGACGACATGTCGTCTTCTCGCATTAAAACTGTATAATCTCAAAAATTACTAATTTTACAGGAGAGTGTTTTAAAAAGTTCAACATGTTATATTTTTAATATTAATAATCTTTGCAACATTTATTTTTTATCTTTTAACAGTTACATTATATGTCTTTTAAAGTAAGATAAAATTATGTATTAATTTTGTTAATAGTAGTCATATATAATAGGTAACCTAAAAAAAAAACTAAAACTAAACTACGTTCTTTTGACAGTATTTATAAAAAAATTAACTCAATTTCGAATATTTTTGGAAATTGTACACTTTTAATGCGAAAAGACGAGGTGATTTCCTTCCTAAATTCCGTCATGGGTGGCATTTTTTTTCCTACTTATGCTGATATCCTTGTGAGGCAATTTCAGCTTTACCCTAGCATATAGGTGAGCTCTCGGGGCTCAAACCGTAGTGTTGTCAACATTGGCCCTAGCAAGAGCAGTGCTTCACAGAATCTGCCACCGGATCGGAAATGCTACCCACTGAGAAGATCCGGCGAGAAACTCAGTGGGCTAAGGACCGCACGGTATAGACTACCACCTTTACTGGCGGTAGGACCTCATGTGAGTCCGCACGGGTACCACCACCCCACCTATTTCTGCCGTGAAGCAGTAATGCGTTTCGGCTTGAAGTGTAGGGCAGCCGTTGTAACTAAACTGAGACCTTAGAACTTATATCTCAAGGTGGGTGGCGCATTTTGCGTTGTAAGTGTCTATGGGCTCCAGTAACCACTTAACATCAGGTGGGCTGTGAGCTCGCCCACACATCTAAGTAATAAAAAAAAAATTGCTTAATTAGTAGATCATCTGGCTGGTGTTCTGCTTGCCTTCTATATTCTCGCCCACATACAGATACACGACATAAAAACTGACATTTACCTAAAGCTAATTTAGTCTGAAGTCGATAATGCTTATCCGAATGCAATACAATTATTAGTAGCACAGAAATAATTTCTTAAAGAATAAGACGCTCTTGTAATCGTAACGCAGGTACGACATTGTTTTAATTGAACACGCGTTTTTACCCAAACGTATAAAATATTTATAATAATATATTTATATATAACGTATATATAAATGCATAACGTCCCATAGTAAAAATTATATACATAAAATCGCGTAGTAGCATCAAATGCCTATTTCTGCCGCGAAGCAGCCGGTTAGACTATACAACACTTCGACATCGTATTTCAAGGAGCTTAGGCATTTTTCACGTTGAGGTGTGAAATTTACAGAACCCGCACAAAATCAGGCGGACTGTGAGCAGTTAGTGGAATAACAATAAACAATAGTATAAAAAACTACAAAAATCCGCTATCATAGAAAATGCAACTAAAAAAAAAAAATTGAATTAAAAATAGTGTAATTGATTTGATGATCACTTTGTTGGTGCAACTAAATAAACAAATAACTAAATAACAGTATCATCTTATAGATTAGCACTGGTTAATCTTCTTTTTATTGCCCTTATTCCAAATTATGCGGGGTTGGTGCAGTGTCTACTCTTTTTCCATTCAGGCCCGTCGTACTTCATCTCTGAACTCACACTTTTCTATCTCTCTTCTTCTCTTTCAATAGTGTGGATGGTGTTTTATGATTACGTCACAGGCTTCTAGTTAGAAAAATCGCTGCCTGATTCCGGGGCGAAACATTAATGTTTTCGGGTTTGAAGGGTAGGACAGTCATTATAATATATAATCGGGATTTAGAACTCTTCTTTCAAGATGGGTGACAGCATTTACGTGCTCCAGTAACCGTTTAACATATGTAGGCATTGAGATTGGTCATTAGTTT